CCGGTGGCCCCTTCCCCCCCCCCCCAAATCTTCCCCGGCCAGCTCCCTGCCCCCAACCTCACATCCCCTGGCAGCCCTGCTTCCACTGGCCCCCCAGCCTCCCCAGCCTGCCCCGATTCCCCCGTCCAGTGCTGCTTCCAGTGGCCAGCTCTCCCCTCCTTCTCACCCCAGAATCTTCTGGCACCTGCACCTTCCCTTAGCCCTGCACCCTCCTGGTGTCTCCCCCTTCCCTTACTGCCCCTGCCCCCTTTGCCCTCTCTTTCCCAGATACCCTCCCCCTCACCACTCTCTGCCCCATCCCCTCCTCCCCTCTGTGCCCTCACACATGACTTGCTCCATCCTGGCCTTCCTCATGCTCATCCCTTCTTTCAAGCCTTCTCCCAGCACCTCCTCCTGCAGCCCCCAATGCCCTTCCCCTCTCCTCTCCTCTCCCAGCATCACCCTGCCCCCCCTCCCACTGACACCTCCCCTCCTGCCCTTTCCCTCATTGTCTGCACTTGGCCCCCTGGCATTTGTCTCTCTCTCCTACACCCTGTCCCTTGGTGCCTTCCCCCCATCCCTGCTGCCACCTTCTCACCTCTGCCTAAGCCTGCTCCTGCTGCCCAAGCCCATTCCCTACCTTCTACCTTCCACATTGTGGGGCCAGAGGCCACGCTCAGGCCCCGGAGGCCGGCACCAGAGGCACTGTGGCCCTTCCACGTGCCTCCGAAGAGTTTTAAAATCCCGGGCCGTGACGTCACGTCACGCCCAGGCGTCCTCCCCGCCCATGTGCAACGCCGCACATGAGCAGCAGCAGGCAGTGAGGAGCCCTAAGCCTGCTGCCGCTGCCCAAGCCCATTCCCTACCTTCTACCTTCCACATTGTGGGGCCAGAGGCCACGCTCAGGCCCCGGAGGCCGGCACCAGAGGCACTGTGGCCCTTCCACGTGCCTCCGAAGAGTTTTAAAATCCCGGGCCGTGACGTCACGTCACGCCCAGGCGTCCTCCCCGCCCATGTGCAACGCCGCACATGAGCAGCAGCAGGCAACGAGGAGCCGCCGCGCATGGCGGGGACACTCTGGGGGCGGGGTGGGAGGACGCACGGGGGAGCCGGGGCATATTGGTGGAGCAGGGCCCCCGGCTCTGTAACTCGCTGGCACTTCCGGGTTCAGGGGCGCGGGGCCCGAATCGGGCTAAGACCGGCCCTGCCGGCAGCCACCAGCTATGCTGAGGCCTGGGCCACGGCCCATAGTTTGGGAAACGCTGCTCTGCTGCGTCCAAGGAATGCGTCCACTTTTTCGGAACAGTTTCCGAAAAAGCAGACGTGTTCTTTCAGCATCCCTGTATTCCTCTTGATGAGAGGCATAAGGGATGTTCTGAAAGAGGAGCTTTTTTCCTAAATTTGGCCCCGTGTAGATGGACCAAATTTCAGAAAAGCCTCTTTCAGAAAAAAGCAGAAAAGGACTTGCAAATTGCAGTTTCCAATTTATGTATCTTCTTCCGACGTTTCCCAGCAGTGCAGACAGAGCCCCAGAGATTAACTCCTTTATAGTTAATATGTTTTTCCTAATATCTAGCTTAATCTTCCTTGCTGCAGATTGTGCCCATTACTTCTCATCTTGTCGTCACTGGACACAGAGAACAATTGGTCATTGTCCTCTTTATAAGAGGCTTTTATAATATTTAAAGACAATGGCCAGCTTTCTTTTCTCAAGACTAAACATCCCGGTTTTTAATCTTTCCTCATATGTTAGTTTTTGAAACCATTTATCATTTTTTCACCATCTTCTGAGCACCCTCCAATTTGTCTACATCTTTTGTAAAGTGTGGTTGCCCAGAACTGATCACAGTTCTTCAGGTCATATCTCAACAGTGCCAAGCAGAGTGATACAATTACTTCCCATATCTTACATAAGAAAGACAATCCTATTTACACACTCCAAAACAATATGAACTCTTTTTGCAACCACATCATATTCAACCTATAATTTACTATAACCCCGATTCTTTTCAGCAGTACCACTTCCTACCCAATAATTGCATTTGTGCCCTTGATTTTTCATTCATAAGTGCAATACTTTGCATTTGTATTTATTGAATTTCATCTTTTTTATTTCAGACCAATTCTCCAATTTGTCAAGGTAATTTTGAAGTCTATTTCTGTCCTCCAAAGAGCTTGCAACCCCTTCAACTTGTGTCACCCAGAGATTTTATAAGCAAACATTTCACTCCATTATTCCAGTTGTTAATGAAAAGGCTGACTAGCACCAGACCCAGGACAGATTCCTGAGGGCCTCACTAGATATGTTATTTCGATAGGACAGCAAATGATTGTTAGCAAGTTTTTGAGTGCAGTCTCTTCAACCAGTTGTGGACCCAATTTATTGTAATTTCATCCTTTCCAGTCTTCTGGGACCTCACCCATCCTCCAGCATTTCTCAAGGAAAATCACGAATGGTTCCAAGATTATATCAGCAATTTCATTAAGTACTCTAGGGTGAATTTCATCAGCTATTGCTGACCTGAAAACATCTAAACTTATCTAAATATTCTTTAACCTGCTCTTTTCCTATTCTAGCTTGCATTCATAAGAACGGCCATATTGGGTCAGACCAAAGATCCATCTAGCCCAGTATCCTGTCTGCTGACAGTGGCCAATGCCAGATGCCCTAGATGGAATGAACAGAACAGAGAATCAAGAAATGGTCCATTCCCTGTTGCCCATTCCCAGATTCTAACACAGGCTAAGGACAACATTCCTGCCCATTCTAATAGCCATTGATGGACCCATCCTCCAGAAATGTATCTAGTTTTAGTTTTTAACTTTGTTTTTTAATCCTGGCCTTCATAATATCCTCTGGCAAGAAGTTCCACAAGCTGACTCCATGTTGCGTGAAGAAATACTTCCTTTTGTTTGTTTTAAACCTGTTATCTATTCATTTCATTTAGTGACCCCTAGTTCTTGTGTTATTGGAGCAATTTTTCTTTATTCACTTCTTCCACACCAGTCATGATTTTAAAGACCTCTATCAAATCCCCGCTTAGTCTTCTCTTTTCTAAGCTGAAAAGTCCCAGTCTTTTTAGTCTCTCCTCATATGGCAGCTGGTTCCATACCCCTAACCATTTTTGTGGCCCTTTTCTGAACTTTTTCCTATGCCAAGATATCTTTTTTGAGATGAGCCAACCACACCTGCACACAGCATTCAAAGATGTTCCCTCTCGTTTGTTGTTAATATTGCGCTAACCATCTGGTGATGATTAACCTTTTTAGTGAAGAGTGAAATAAAACAGGTATTTAACACCTCAACTTGGTTTCCAGTCATTATTAGTTCCGCTTTCATGCTAAGTAGTGAACCTACACTTTTCTTCATCTTTCTCTTGCTTCTCCAGTGTATTTTCAGCACTTCTTCTGATTGCTTTTTCTGCTCCTTTCTAGCAATGTTTCCTCTAATCTTTTCCATCTATGTGCAGATTTTTTCCATCTATGTGCAGGATACATATTTATGTGCACCAAAGCCCATGTGTATTTGCACCACCAGTAAAAGCAAAGAATCCAGCTGAGGGTGGTCTGCCAATCAGCTAGCTGGCATTTGAATCTCTGCTGAGTGACCGCACAAGTGCACAGCATGCAGGGAACACTGCTTTCTAGGAGCATCTCATTTTTTGTCTCTGCATGTTTGTGCTACTCTTTCACATTCAGCCTTAGCAATGTGTCCATATTTCTACTTTTTGGAAACATTGCAGGATCTTTGATTCCAGGAGTGTCAACCACTCAAATATCCATATAGTCATGCTTCTGGCCATCTATATTTTCAAATGCTGAACCCTATACCTAAAAACCTGCCTTTTGCATCCAAGTTTTCTTCTGCCCACGGCTTTTCTTGAACACAGGTCTCATGCTGGTAGTGAGTAGCTCTTCCAAAAGTTCAAACTTTGGCCTAAAAAAATTCCATCTTAAGGGTACCAGGCATTCAAATCCATCAGCTCTCTTTAAGGATTTCAACAAGAAACCCCTTGATCACTCTCTTGAGCTTGACAGAACGTCCCAGGAGCACTTCTAGCATTCCATCCATCAGGAGGTACTGCCAGCCACAGGCCAGCAAGCTAACAGGAATGCACAGATGACTGTGGTCTTTATGCCATGAGAATCTCAACAATTTTCTTTTCAGAATTATATAAATAGAAATCTATTTATAATCCAGACCAGATCAAAAGTAGGCTTTGTAATCAGCAGATAAGCCTGGGGATGACTGGGCACTGAAAAGTGCTTTTGGGTTTCCTTTCTGGCTCTCAACATATGGAAATGTCACATTTTGTATTTACCACTTGAGCCAAAGTAGTCTCTCCAAACTCAATTCTGCTGTCTGGCTGAACTTCACGACCACACTACACCAACCATTCTAAGAAGAAGGGTACTGGAACTTATCTCTGGCCAAAGGCTCATCAGAGGCTCCTCCTGCAAAAGTCACACTGGCTCAGAGACACTCGGTGTGTGCCATTCAGTCTGCCCCTTCAAGCTTCATGTCCTTGTTGCTGCAGCTCTCCACATCATCAGCTCTTTGGCTGCC